TCAAGATCATTCTTTTAGGAAGATGCTCTGGAACCATAAACTGTCAGATTATCAGGTCCTGTGTGACCCTAGTTGTTCTCCTCTCTTCTAACCTTTCCTTATTTACAATAAGAGATGCAAGTTCTGCCAAGAAAAATACAACAACCTGGATCTCAGCTGCTGCCTAGAAGTTTTTTAAAGAGAAACACATGAATGTTTATTCAAAAGGAAAACACAGTTGGCCCTCTGTAGCCACAGGTTCCGCATCTGCAGATATAACCAACCAACTCCAGAGAGTTCCAAAAAAGCAAAAGTTGAATTTGCCATGCACTGGTAACTCTTTACATAGGTTTTACATTATATTTACAACTATTTACATAGTGTTTACACGGTATTGAGTATTATAAGTAATCTAGATGATTTAAAGTACAATACATGGGAGGATGTACGTAGATCATATGTAAATACTACACCGTTTTACATAAGGGACTTGAGCATCCTCAAGTTTCAAATTTCAGTATCCCGGGGGTCCTGGAACCAGTCCCCCTGTACTCTAAAAATGCATTTGAAAGCAACAATCACATTCAAAAGACCATAACTTTGGGCAAAACCAACTGCTTTCACGTAACAATAAATATTTGCAGAGAGTCTAGAGAGTATTGTTTCTTTTTCACACATCCTTTTATGTTAAGGTACTCATGTAAGATTAGGAAAGGCTGGGTATCCCCCTCTGTTGACTCAGAAGGACATTCAGTGCCAAGACTTGGAAGTGATCTATTCAGAGATACACATGGGGATGGCAGCAAAGCTAGAACAGAAGTTTTAAGAGATGAGAACTAGAAAATAAGTGTATTCTCTAATGCAAGAGCCGGGAATACATATATCTGAAGCAGTTCATCTCACCACAATATTTATTTAATGTTGGGCTGCCAGATAAAAGTACAGACTACCCAGTTAAACTAGAATTAAACAGCAATTAATTTTTAATATATATATGTCCCATGTCATATTTGTAACCTACTTATACTAAAAAATTATTTGTTGTTGTTTATCTGAAATTCAATTTAACTGGGCATGCTGTGATTCACTAAATCTGTGACTGTATTTAATGTGTCTTTTAAAATTATCTAAAGGGAGTTCCCCAGTGGTGCAGTGGTTAAAAATCCACCTGCCAATGCAGGGGACATGGGTTTGATCCCTGGTCCAGGAAGATCCCACATGCCGCAGAGCAACTAAGCCTGTGTGCCACAACTACTGAGCCTGTGAGCTACAACCACTGAGCCCATGAGCCACAAATACTGAAGCCCACACGCCCAGAGCCCGTGTCTGCAACAAGAGAAGCCACCACAATGAGAAGCCCGCGCACCACAACGAAGAGTAGCCCCCGCTCGCCACAACTAGAGAAAGCCCACACCCAGCAATGAAGACCCAATGCAGTCAAATAAATAAATTATATTTAAAAATAAATAAGTAAAAAAAATTATCTGTAAATGCCCTTGGCTTTAGATTTTTAATCTTCAGGTCAGACTGAACTCCAGACTCACAAAACCAATTGCTCACATGACATCTCCACCCCAGTACCGATGAGACATTTAACACTCAACATACCCAAAACTGAGCTCCAGCTCTCCTCCACCATGCCCCACCTCTCCCCAGGCCTGCTCCACCTGCAGTCAGCCTCACCTTACTTAATGGTCTATTCCTCTATTGCTTGGGTCAAAATTTTGTGTCATCCTTTGCTCCTCTCTTACTCTCACACCTCAAATCCTGTATTTTTGCGTCATTGTAGAAAATCGGAGGAACTCTCTATTTTATACTTCTGTAAGTTTGAGGCTAGAAAACAGGTTCAGGCAGTACAATCAATGAAGAAATACGCTCCCAAGGACTTCTGCACAGAGTTTCTCCTAGTCCAAAGAAGTCTCTTTTTTGGAACCAGGGAGCCTCTTGCTACACTTGTGTCAATCAACCAATAAATGACCATGCTTAAAGAAGGGCAAAGGTGCCATCTTTTGCATTATAAACTCAGTCCAAGGCTTTCACTTTTACTTCCAGCACAGTTTAAAATGTATAGTAGGAACTGCTAACTGCTGTTAAGTGGGGGGAAAAAAAAACTCACTACCTGAAACCCCTACCCCACTCTGGTTATTAAATGCAACAGTTATCTTTTCACCTTTAGAGTAACAGCATCTAGCTTTCTGGACTCTTAATAATCCTTTCTAGCCAGAAGACAAAGGAGTTTCATGAAATTAGTAGAAAATATACAATGTGTAAATCTGTATAATGTCCAAGTCCAGCTTCAAATTTGAGAACTCCAGGGCATTTTCTGGCAATTCTTTGTTTAATACACATGATAAATGTTGTGAGGTCATGTCAGGTCTTTCTTATCAACATCAAGGAACCCAGAAACTAGATAATTAGAGCAACACAGAGCAGCCTAATTTTTTTAGCCAGTCCAGACCAATAAATAGTTTCTCTAAGTTTCCACCAGACCAGCGGTTACCCTTTGAGATTTTCACCAAGGAGCAATGATTTCTACTCTGCTGTCAAGGCTTTACATACCTAAGGTGCTAGAGATGCTGGGGAAGAACAGCCAAAGCAAAAAGGGTTTATTCGTTCATCAATATCTTCAGATATTTAAGGTCCTAGGCTTGGTGCTCAACAGAGCCAAGTTGGAAAGTAGTGTTTTCTGTCATGTGGTTTTGCTATGTCACTGTCAATAGCAACTTATCATATAACATGTCAACAATGGCATGTACATCTCCAAAACATGGTAAATATGATTAACAATGCAATTTGTAAAAGTGACCAGGTCAAGGGTTTCCCTGGCGGCGCAGTGGTTGAGAGTCCGCCTGCCGATGCAGGGGACACGGGTTCGTGCCCCGGTCCGGGAAGGTCCCACATGCCGTGGAGTGGCTGGGCCCGTGAGCCATGGCCGCTGAGCCTGCGCTCCACAATGGGAGAGGCCACAACAGTGAGAGGCCCACGTAACGCAAAAAAAAAAAAAAAAAAAAAAAAAGTGACCAGGTCAAAGATAATGAAGGTAGCCACATGAGAAAACAATTTAAAAGATTAAATAAATAAATAACCTTGACTCCCTCGATCAAATAATCAAAGATTTGTATAAAAAAATAAGAATCAAAAATGTAGATTGCAATATACTTTTTTTTTCCTGTGGGACACAAAGAGGAGTAAAATTTCTTAAACAGGTTTCAGAATGATTGCATTCTACATAGAAAAGTTCATCGTTAAAGTTCAATTTTGATAAGTCCTTCTCTACTGTATTGCCACATTATTTCCATATCAGGCATTTTTCTTAGCCTTCAAATTTTAAGGAAACAATCAAATTTGAATGGATGATCTATTGTACATTTCAATGTCAAAAGTTTCCATGCCTTTTTAAGAACATAGCAGGCAGGGCATGTGTTTCCTATTTTGCTATGCCCAGAGTCTCTGAAATCTTCTAATGATTCTGTCATACAACCAAATATACCTTTCAAGCTAGATAAAAAATAATTGAGTCTATTTTTTTAAATGTCTGCAACAAAGCTATTAGCTCCCTGAAATAAACAGGGTTTGTACAGATAGCCTTCAGAGGCAACTTCACAGGTGTCCAGTTAAAACTGTGATCTCCAGAAGACTTTGTGTGTGTAAATTCTACTAAGTCATCAAGAGCACTTTGAGTATTCCAAGTTAGTGGAGTTTCTGCCCATTTCTCATAAAGACCTTCCCATAGTCATTCTTCTTCTCAGTGATGAATTTACTAACTCTGAATGCAAATACTTCCCTTTATCCCATCATCTTCCTGACAAGTCTCTGGGTAACTGCTTCCTAAAAGGCTGTGCCTTTTCAAAGATAACTGAAATGTTTTCATTCTAATATTGTATCAACTGATCACTTCCAACAATCAAATTTTCATTTGAATATTGTATTTGGTGAGTCTCTCAGACCATCTGAAACACTGAATCTGCACGTGACAGCAATCATACTATTCAAAACATTCTCGTGCACATGTCACTAAGAGGAAAACTACCTACCCTGGAGTATAGCTATTAATGTCAAACAGACTGTCATCGGAGAAAACAAAAATGCATCAAAATCAGCTTCAGACAAAGTACAGCCCTACGGAAAAACACCAGGTTTTTATGTGCAAATGTCTTAAATGTCTGATTGACATGTTTAAAGAATGAGTTAGCAAGGAATCTGCTCCTGGTCTCTCTCCATAACCCAGAATAATGTGATAATGAAAAGAATTTTAGAGTTAAAGGGCTCTTCATCATAGCACACTATATGCATTTGCCCCAGTTTCTAGTAAACATTATGAAGAAATGTTTAATTTCTAGCTTGGGCCGAGGGCTCTATTTAGCCTATCAAAGCACAGACCTGTCATAAACGCTGGGACTCTTGCCAGAATTTTTTTTCCCTGCAGCTCTTAGTAAAGATCATACCTCGAAAGCATTGTGCCTTGCAAACCACGCAGATTTAAGCTCCCACTCCCGCCTACAGAGCTTGGCACCAGCGGCTTTTGAGGTATCCCTCATCTCCTAAAACTCTGACTGAATCGCCACCACCACTCCCCACTCTCCCACCACCACCGTGTCGTCATCCTTGCTTAGCTCTCCGGAGCTCAGCACGGAGCGTCCCCCAAGCCCCTGCAGAGTGAACTCACGGTGCCACCCAACTCCCAGCCCTGCACACACCCACAAACACTCTCCTACTCCCTCCGCTACAATCTGCCCCCAAATGTGTCACCCACCTCACCCCTAATCCCATACCCCAACGTCCCTGGAGCTCTTCCCCCTCCTGGTGGCTTCATCCCCAACACACCTGTCTACCCTGCTGGCCGACTTCAGGTGCCCACGCTGCGCCCTATCCCGCGCCCCTTCAATCTAACTGGCGCTTTGCACTCCGCCCCAAGGACGGTCAGTTCGCTCGGAGCACTTTCTTTCCCCACCCCTTGCCCACCCGCAGACCGCCCCCAACGCCCACCCTCACGGGCGCGGAGAAAGGGTCGCTTGTAGTACCTGCCGAGAGCGCGGCGGCCGCGACGAGCAGCAGGAGAGCCTGGCGAAGCGCGGCGCGGAACGCTCGGGTCATGGCCACCAGGCGCCGCGCCCGGGCTGCGAGGCCCCGGAGCCGAGCGCGACGGCCGGGGCAGCGCGGGCCGCTTTGAAGTTCCCGGGGCGCAGGAGGGAAGCACTGCCCGACACCCTTTTGAAGTGTGCGGTTGGCTCTAATCAGCGCGGGCGCCCCCCTCCCCTGCCTCCCCCATCCCCCGCCCCCGCGGCTGGCGGTGCGCGGCGCTCCAGCCACTGGCCCCGGCAGCCCGGCTGGCAGGGGGGCGGGGGGGCGACAGAGCCCGCCCCTGCCGCGCCTCCGCCCCCTGGGCCCTCCGGCAGCCGCACGGGGCCTGCCGCAGCCCGGCTGGCGGGCAAGGGCGGCCCGCAGAAGAAGCAGTGAGATCGCAGAGAGGTGGGGGCGGGGGGGGCGCAGGGGGAGGCAAAGAAAGCAGGTGGGGTGGCGCGGAGTCCCCAAGACTGGATACGCTGAGAAGGGCGTCGGGACAGGAGGGAAAGCCCTACTGAGACTTCAGGAAGACTTAAACCCTGCAGCAGTTGCTTCCTGTTGCTCCGCTCTATAGTCTCCTACAGAAGATCCACGCGTCCAGGTCTCGACACTCATTTGTTGTCCAGTGCCCTAAAGGTTTTCTAACTAGACTGAGCCCTGAAACATCCTGGGTATTCCTCCTGGCTCCTAACTCCGCCACGTCCTGGCTGTGCGCGCGTCTGTGGAAGGGCGCCCTCTCTGTCCAGCCCTGGAAATAACCAGGTGCCTCACTTCCTAGGCTACCTATAGTTTTGGCTTAACAAACTTCATCTCTAATCTGATGCCTTCAAGTGACCCGCCCCCCCAAGAATGGCGACCGAAGCTGGACTACCTGCACCAGGTGATGTGGTCGTCTGCAATGTGTAATCCAGGTTTAGAAGGAAGTAGAGGACCCGTCCTATGCAAAATACTTAGCAAGTACAATTTCAGCAGTTGAAAAACTGAGGGGCGGGTTGGAATCATACACAAGCTTTAAGGGGAGGTGAAGAATGATTGAAAGTACTGCACTAGACACTTTGAGTAGTGTTTAAATCCCTGGGGCTTATCAAATGAGTGTGCTTCCCATGTGGATTGCGTTTGAAAATATAAGGGCAGCATTACCAATTAATAGAAATTAGCCTAAATTTAATCCAGGTATGTAGCTTGTACATTAAAGTGAATGGAATTATTTTTTAAAAGTTTTATTGGAGTACAGTTGATTTACAATGTTGTGTTAGTTTCAGGTGTACAGCAAAGTGAATCAGTTACACATATACATATATCCACTCTGTTTTAGATTCTTTTCCCATATAAGCCATTACAGAGTATTCAGTAGAGTTTCCTGTGCTATATAGTAGCTCCTTATTAGTTATCTATTTTATATATAGTAGTGTGTATATGTCAATCTGAATGGGATTATTTTAAACTGAACAACACAAAAAGCCAAGAATCCAGTGCTGGTGTTATTGCTGCTGTTAGGGGCCTCTTTGAAAAGTGATTGTCATATAAATGAATTGCTTTGGAGTAAGAGATATTACTTGCCTCTTCACCTACTTTAGCTCTAAATAGCACATCTATGGAAGACCTATGGTGAAATGCTGTATGCAGTTGACTTAATCAAAGAGTCACAGTATTGGGGGTGGGATATTTGTCGGACTTTGATGCATAATAGTGACAGTCTTGAGGATCTCACCCCCACCACCACCACCTTGTATGAATCAAAACATTCCTAAGCATAGAAAGACTTTGTTCTCATTTCATTCTGGATCCAAGCAAACAAATAAATCAAAAAAAAAAAAATGGAGATCTGGGACAAGCCTGAGCCCTTCCAGACACCCACAAAACAGATGCTTTTTTTAAAAAAAGAAAAGAAAATGCTAGAACACATTATATTTTGGCTGACTTGGCTTGCTCATTATTTGGTAACTATACCCTAGATGGTGATCTACCATTCGATCATGAGACTTGGAGCCTAAAGATCAGGGCCTGCTTCCTCAAAAGTAAGTGGAACTTCGTTCCTCCCTATTTCTCAGAACCACGACAGGATTAAAAAGGGTAGTGAATGTGAACATACTGTCAAACCAAGGCATTATGCTAATGTCAGGTATTTACCCTCCACATATTTATTTTGTCTCTTGAATACAGTAAGCAATTTCCCTGCAAGTTGGAAAGCTCTCATCTTCTAAGAAAGCAAGGTTATTATCCCAAGAAGTCTGATACTGAATAACTTCAATATTCTAAATAAATTCAACACTTTCCTCTTAGTCTAATGGTGCATTGTCTGCTATGTTATCCACCAGCCACATGTGAGTAGTGAGCACTTGAACTGTGTCTAGTCCAAATTGACATGTGCTGTAAGTATAAAATGCATGCTGGGGCTTCCCTGGTGGTGCAGTGGTTGAGAGTCCACCTGCCGATGCAGGGGACATGGGTTCGTACCCCGGTCTGGAAGATCCCACATGCCGCGGAGCGGCTGGGCCCGTGAGCCATGGCCGCTGAGCCTACGCGTCTGGAGCCTGTGCTCCGCAACGGGAGAGGCCACAACGGTGAGAGGCCCGCGCAACGCAAAAAAAAAAAAAAAAATGCACGCTGGATTTCAAAGACTTATTACAAAATAAGAATGTAAAAATATATCATTAATAATTTTATATTGCTTACATGTTGAAATGATAATATTTTGGATACATTGGGTCAAGTAAAATATGTTACTAAAATTAATTTCACCTCTTCCTTTTTACTTTTTAATATAGCTATTAGAAAATTTTAAATTATATGTGTGGCTCGCATTCTATCTCTATTGGACAATGCTGGTCTAATGAATCCTCCTCAAATGGCAAAAGATCATTACCTTTGTCTTAAGCACAGTATAATAAAGCCAAGTGTTGTTAAGTACCTTGCCAGACAACATGTGGCCAGCCAATGAAGGAAGCAGCAACTCTTGATATCTTGGTGCAAAGTTCTGTGATACAACAAAAAAAAGGTTAATAAGTCAAAATCTAAATACTTAACTTGTAGGATTATATTAAACTACATCTCCAAATACCATTTCCCTCTGTCCTAAGTTCATGTCTTCTTCCAACATCAGTTCTATGGCAGCTCTGAAGTAACAAGTTAACCACTCAGCATGTATTGAGTTCCAATGGCTGGCAAAGTATATTCTTAGGCAACTATAAATACTTCTGATAGCCTTGAAGAAAAGAGCTTCACCCTTATAATGTGTCCCAATTTTTACTTAAAAGAGTATACTTTATTTGTACACACACACATAAACGCACCTATGGATATTAATCCAGTTTTAATCCAATATCTTTAAAAATGAACTATTATTAAGAAAACACTCCTTGGAGCATAGTGAGTGACTCCTGTTACTTAATATAAGCAGCACAAATGCATTGTTCAAGATATGATATAATATAGTACCTCTTTCATACTTTTGTACATAACAGAAAAAAATTTACATGTGAAATTTTAAAAAATTTCACTGGAAAGAAATTTACATGCAAATATGTTTCTAAAGATTTAAGGTTCCCCCCACCCTTAATCATCTATTTGTACATATTCATTACCATAGCAACATTACATCATGACTCCTGGATTCCCATCATCAAAGGAAAACAAAAACAACAAATAATTGAGGAGTTCATAACCCATCAGCAAAACAGACTTCGGGTGAGTAAATCTTACATAACCAGGGAAACAGGTATAAATTGTAAAGATTTGATGCATTTGCAGAATAACATTCCAAATGAATAAGGCAAGTAAATGTGTAATAACTGAACTTTGAAAATGACTATTGGTTGGGTGTGGTTGTTTAGGATTTTTTTTATTGTACAGGTTTCTTTTATTATTATCCTTTCCAGAATCATGAATGCCATGCATCTTAATTTCTCATTTCATCTTGGAACATGAACTTGTCATGGAACAAGCATATGGTGAGGAGGCATACTATGATAATTTGCTATATACTGTCAAGGTCTAATCTTTTCTCATTTTACTGCGTTTTTCCTTCCCTAAACTCACATTCTCTCTAAAGAAGTGCATGACACACTCATCTTCACTCATCTCATCTCTTAATCCCAGAAAGTTTTACATTGGGAAATTTTAGTTTCACTTCGGTTCTTCTTCTTCTCTTGTCTGTTGTTAATTCTATCCCATGAAAATAGTCATGTGTTTTAGGAACTTTGTTGAGATTCTACAATATATACCTTCAAAGTGTCTATACCTCATGAGACAGCTCAGGTCTCATAAAAAAGAAAAATAATGACCCCGCTCTGTGGACATGGATAATGGGGGGATATCAGTTTCTTAGCTCGACTGCCACTGCTAAAAGCTTAATATCTTTGTAAAGTATTCACACTAGGTGTTTTCACCACCTTCCAAAATGACTGCACCCCCTTCACTGATTTTTGTATGCTTTTAATACTATTAATATGGTCTTTCAACAAACTCAAACTTTGTCTGTTTTCTCTTCCACTGGCTAATGTCAGTGTGCTAAGCTGATTAGGCACATTCAATACAGGCTCTATCTATAAAAGGCAGGTCAGAGATTCAGTTCCAAGTAAGCAAGCCTCCACCACTTGGATCATTTCCTTAAAATGGGCCTGTAATTATACTCTACCAGAGTGAGGTTACAAGGAGGTAAGAGAGTTAGATGACTCAGTACAAATGCATCTCTTCCTGAGTAAATCACTCAAAAAGGACAGTTATTTTTAACCCCAGACAAATACCCTGTTTCTTTCCCCCTTATCACTTCCCTCTGTTTCATCTTTTACATCCAGTTAATCAGCAGTTTCTATGGATTCTAACTTTTATTAAAAATCTCTCAAATTTTTTCACTTCTTTCCATCTCACTGCGACCATCCTACCGCAAATCATCATCTTCTTTTACTTGAAATGTCAAATATGCCTCCTAGCTGGTCCCCCTTCCTTGAGATTCACTCCTCTCCGATCTATTCTCATGGACTCTTCAGCCAGAAGGATCTTTTTATAGTACAAATGTGTTCATGTAACAGAATGCTACCTAAGACGTATTGCTAGTTCTAACACTGGCAGTTCTGACATTGGCAACTGAAATTAACTTGGCACATAATAAGCACCCAGGGGGACTGGCCTTTGAAGTGCTCTGCCCTGTCCCCCAATGGGCACAGACAGTGCATCTGATGCCATCAACACTCTGAGGCCGGACAGTGGATGATTCCGCTAGGATCTCTCCTGCTGCTGCATCTGAACACTAGCTGTGCCTTTCT